ATATAAACCGGAAGATATTCACGTGAGGAATGGGGATTGATATCGATGGCTCGTGCAGAGAAAGCATTTCTACATCTGGTGGCGTGGTGGGCAACAATGAAATTCATTGGCTTATTGGTTTCAATTCAAATGTGAAAAACTTTCCCCTACTCTTACCAAAACTGTTGCAATTATTCAGGGTCTGGAACTTTGCTCTGGAGTTCCAACGTATTAGTGTGTTTACCGGTTGTACAAAGGCAATCAATCTTCTCACACGCTCTATCGGATTTAGTAACACATCATTTTAGATACAATTGACTATGCTAGACTTCTTTTGTTCGGGACCAGTTGTGTTTCTTTTTCCTTTATATTTAGGGAGGTAGAGCTGTCAACTAGAGCCGGCTCTTGAAGGGTCAGGGCCTAAACGAGCTGGCCCTAATAAGCCCGATTGCATGTCAGGGTTTCATTTTCTAAAGCCCGGCCCTAACCCTCAGGGCTAAAGGGCCGGCCCTCAGGGCCTCGACCCTATTTTTTTAAAATTATTTTTTAATTAAAAATTATAAAATATATATTTATAATCATAAAAAAAAGTTATTATTCATAAAATTAAGTTTAAGAAAGTAAATTTAAATCAATTTACATCACAACAATAAAAAAAACTAAATATTTAGGTCTAATATCAAATAGCAACATCAAAGTGAATACTAATAAAAATTAAACTTAGCTAATATTATCAGCTAAATCTTAATAAATAAATGAGGGATGAATGAATGCATTTAATATGTTTATTTCTTTAAATTATGTATTTAATCTTTTATTTTTTTTATATTATATTTTTTTAAAAAATTATAAACGGGCCTAAAAGGGCCGACTCTTTTATTTTCGGACCTAAAAGGGCAGGTCCGATTTACTTTTTTACAGGTAAAATAGAAGTTCGATACTTAATTTTTTCAAGTCTAAAAGGGCCAACCTTACGAGTTTGACTCTAATTGACGGCTCTGTAGGGGTCAACTGATAATTTGTATCCATTTATTAGCCATCCAATGATCCTGATTTACCAGGGTCTTTTACTTCCTCTGAACAACCTTCACTTTATTGTTGGAAGGTGATGAATGATAATTAAAGGCGATGTACTCCTTTGTACTGTTCTAAACTTTGATAGATTATTGTTATCACTTTGATGTGTTTTTTTTTAAATAAAAAAAGTAGACCTATCAATTAACTATGCCTGAGACAGGAAGGATTATCCTCTCCGTTGCAATCAACCTACTCGTTAAATTTTCTCCTGGATCAAATTTCTTTTGGTTGTGCATCTCAATTATAGTAATTAAATTTTATTAATGCTCTGCAAATTAGTAAGATGTATTTCTCTTCAAAAATTTAAAGCAACCATTACAAGTAGAACACTCTTTACATATATATTGCTCATATATATATAAAAATTGGGAGTGAGTATATATTTTTTAATTATTATATGACAATATCCTTGACAACTGTTTAATTAAATGTATAGTTGAGGCATTCATTGGATCACTGTATCCATATTTTCTCCTGTGAGTCACTCCTCGAGGCTTCGCCCATTCATCCTCGCTGTGCTCATTCATCCTCGCAAAGTTGTATTCAATTGAATATTCATTCCTGTGAATAACTGTCTCTATTGAAAACAAGTAATTAATTAATTAGCCATAAAAATGTGATTAAAAAAAAGCCTCGGGCAACTGGACTAGGATATATTGTAATGTAATCGTAAATTAGCAAATACTAGTATTGTACAATTTGTAAGGGCATGGCAAGGAACGACATGAATAATTTCCCCGGAAAAAAGAGAGCAAGAGGGAGGAATTCCGCTTAATTAGAATCATAAGCATTAGTAGTTGTACTAATACTAATACTAATAATAAAATGATGAAAGTCCGGCGCCCTAGGAGAAGACCGTACAAAGATCCTGCAATCCACGGTCCACCTAGGCAGATGATTCTCAGTTGCAATTTCTGTGGTCCCCACCAACCGCGTGCTCCCACGTGTGCATCTGTACTGCCTGTCGGCCTTGCATCCATTTCCCCTCGATTCTCGAGCCCTATGCCACGTGTTCCAATTTCCGTCGTCGATCCCTCCCCCTAGATCCCAAAATACATTGAACTGGGCTTTGATTTGACATCCCTCCGCTCTTTCTTTTTTTTTTTTGGGGGGGGGGGGCATTTAGGGGATCCGCACGTTACATTTGGTCTCCTTGTGGGGACCACTTTCTACTTCGTCATTTAAAATGACAGCTCCTTGTTTTGTTAGCGTTGGTGCCACAGGCTACTAAACGGCTGAACCCATTATTGCTCTGGTTTCGTTCACTTGGATATGTAATTTTTCTCCCGTAGATTTTAAACCAGTAGATCAGGTGTGTGTTTAAATTTCAGTTGAATATAATAAATTATAAAAATAATTAATTAAATAATAAATCTTGATTATAATTAATTGTACTATAACACAATTTATTTAAATATTATTTTTTAAAAATTAATTTTAATAAAATTAAAGACATTTAAATAATTTATTTAAAATTAATTTTAATTGTATAAATTATAATAAAAGTTATTAATTTTTAAAATTAAATTATTAATAAATTTATATCTAATATTATTAAATTTTTTTTTGAAATGAATTTTTTATTAAATTTTGTGTTTTTTTATAATTTTTTCTTGAGTCTTTATTTATAATTTCTCCAATATTTTTGATCAGCTTTTCCCTAGACGCTTAGACGCTTGCAAATACAGCTTTCAAAAAAAAATTAATTTTAATACTAATAATCGATTAATGATAAAAGATTGTGTTTGGATATATTTTTAGTTAAGCGATTTTTTTCAACTAAAAAATTGATTATTTGCCTAACCAAACAAGCACTAACTTTTCAAAATAAATCAATTATGGATATTCTATTTTGCATGAACGTATGATCTACTCACATTTAAAAAATTCTCGATTCATTTATGCTATTTTGAATATGTATAGATTTAAATTTAAATTTTAATTTGAGTCAAATCCATTATTTGGATAACTGAAAATATATGGATTTAGATTTGATCCAAATTTAAATTCAAGTTCTCCCTTAATTTCTTTATAATTTGAAATCCTTTCTAATTAAACTTCTATTATTTCAAATCCTAACTTAAGCTCTTTTGTAATTTGACGCAAATGTATGCAAGCTTGATTCAATTTGCCAACGATAGTTGTACTGAACCACTAAAGTTGATGGAAATAAGTTTCCACCATTGACCAAGATTGGACTGACAGGGACAAGATGGTTAAGTTCCACTGGAATCAAATCGACAGTGACAACAAGGATAGGATGGCTAACTTCCATCGGACCAAACCAACGCCAACGATGGGAACCAAACAGTTAACTTCCAACGAGATTGGACCAATAGTGACTGCAGGGATCGAACGGCAGACTTCCACTAGGACTAGACCAACAAGGACTGAACGATAGCCTTCCACTAAGGACTAGACTGACGACAACAATGAGGACTAAATTGTCAACTTTTACTTGGGCCAAATCGACGACCATGACAGGGATCGGATGGTTGACTTCTACTAGGACCGAACCGATGACCATAACGGGGACCAAATGATCAACTTCCACTAGATTGATGGCAACAACGAGGGCATGATGGACGACTTTCATGGGCGCCGGACTAATGATGACGACAAGAACTAGACGACCAACTTCCATCGGTAAAGGATCGATGATAACAACGAGAATCGAACAACTGACTTCCACTGGCACCAAACTGATGATGATGACGGGAATCGGACGGTTGATTTCCACCAAAATCAACCTATGGCGATGATGAAGACTGAAAGCTCAACTTCCACCGGGCAAGGACTAGACAGTTGCCTTCCATCACCGTCACCGTCAGTTCAGTCCCTATCGTTGGCGTCGGTCTAATCTTGGTAGAAGTTGACCGTGCTATCCTTGTCATCGTTGTCGGTTCGACCTTGGTGGAAGTCAACCACCGGTCCTAGTGAAAGTCGGCTGTCTGGTCCTTGTTGTTGTGGTCTGTCTTCATTGGTGTCGGGCCAGTCTCGATAGATGTCAACTCGTTCGATGCCTGTCGTCATCTTCATTTTGGTCTTGACGGAAGTCTTCCATCTGGTTCTAGTTGTAGCTATTGGTTCGATCCCAATGAAAGTCAGCCATCCGGTGCTAGTTGTAACCGTCGGTCCAATCTTAATGAAAGTCAACCATTTGGTCTCCATTATCGTAGGTCTAGCCCCTGTGGAAGCTGGCTGTCCAGTCCTCGCTGTCACTGTCATTTCAGTCCCAGTGCAAGTCTATTGTCTAGTCCCCATCATCATTATCGGTCATGTCCCGATGGAAGTCGGCCTTTCAGTCCTTATTGTCCTCGTCAATTCGATCTCAGTGGAAGTTAGCTGTTTGGTCCCCATCGTCCCCTTTTATCTAGTCTTGATGGAAGTCGACTGTTCGATCCCTATCATCACTGTCGGTCTGATCCTAGTGAAAGTTGGTCGTCCCTTCCCCCCATCGCCGTTGGCCCTATCTCGATGGAAATCAATCGTTCCATCCTTGCTGTCATGATGATTCAGTCTCAGTGGAAGTCGGAGGTCCCATCACGGTCATCATTGGTGCCACAATCTCAATCGGCTTTGTTTGTCTAATCCCGTTAAAAGTTGACCATTCGAATCATTGAGTTTGACTATTTTTTAATTTTTTTAAATTCAAATATAAAATTTAAAATTTAAAATTATACTTTAAATCCAAATAAAGGATTTTAATATGTAATTTAAAATTTTTTATATTATCCAAATAAAAATTTAAAATTTATAAATTTTAAATAAAAAATTTTATATTTAAATTTTTAACTTAAATTTATCCATCCAAACATAACCTTCAGTTTTTTAAGAAGTTAAAAATCTTGTTTATCAATTTTCTATCTAAACTTTAGAAAACCATTTACAGTACTGATCATCCTTTAGTTCCCATGTGGTGTTTACACTGTCATTTGATTCCTTCGTGCCTTGTAGTGGGGTTTCGTGCAAGGAAATTGTTTGCACTTTGCAGTGACCCCAGTGTTGCCTCGCCTTGTAAATGCAAGTGTGGCATCTTGTGCTCTAAGTTTTCTCATATCAATTTTTGGGCTCCAAGTTTCTCTTTGCAATTTCCACCGTTTTTCCCATAACCTACACCACTGTGAAGTTTTCCTCTTGCGTTTTCCATTTATGCTGAATATCATCCTCAACCCTCATTTACTTCCCTACTCATTGGAACACTAAATTTGCTGCCATCACTAAAGACCAAAGATGACCAAACCCTATTGGCTATCGCGAAGACGTAAACCCCAAACAGTCTCTTTCCCTCAAACTCGCAGTGCAGATAGCGGTTTGTAGACAGAAGTACCTCTAATCCTCCCTTTGCATTAAGCCATTGACTTACTTCTTCCTTTATTTGTCTTCAACTTCAAAACTCGACACGAAAGCACCTCCATCGTTAGAGCCAGAAAGGAGATGATTCCTTTACAGTTACTTATTTTGTGAACTTTTAGGGCTTGTCCATCAAAGATGCTACTAAGGTATCAAAAAAGGTTAAATTCAAGTGAGTATATATATTTTGTGGTCTTGGTGTTTGGTAAATGTGTGCTTATCGTTAGAAAACTATTAAGGGACATTTGTGTATGTTTATAGAATTAAGGCATAATTTTGAGAGAAGTCACGTTCGTGTTTTCATTTAATTCATGAGTAGGTATTGATTAAAAAAATTCACAAGTGGAGTATTGGAACCTGCTTCTTCCTACATTTTTCTTAGTTCTTAGCCAAAAGTCTAATGTCGTATCATGTGTCAGCTATTTCTTCTTCCTTATTGCATTGTCTAGATTTCATTAGAATACAACAAATTGCCCTCTTTTTTTGTTAAATTCTATTTTATCTGAATCATGTTTCATCTCTTCCTTGCATTATTGTCAAGCAAACTAAAGGACGCCTAAGGAAGACTTTATTTTGAGATCATAGTCAAAAGTCTCTGGTTTGAATCCGTTCGTTGAAAGCAATTGGAAATTTCGCCCTTCTCCCCCTTTCATGGTTTTAACTTTTAATGTAGTTATTGTTGAGATTAGTTATTAGAAGTTTGTCCAAGCACTATGAGTAAATATTTGATTAATGTTTTATTTATTCCTTGATTAACATACGTATATGTAGAAAATCAATTGGTAAAAAGCATGTGCACAAGAGCCTCAAGGTAGTTAACTGGGCTAATGGATGTACTTATTTAACTGTTGTTCTACGTGCAGTAAACCATTGTGTGCATTCTTTTTTGTCCGCACACGCTACAAGATAATGGCCAATGATCTTCAAATCAAAGGAGATCAAAGCATTACCCCTGTTTAGATGCTAGAGATGGGATGATGATGATAGGGTAAATGGTGAGTAGTATATTCAATCATCTATCACCCTTCCTTTTGTATAGAATTAGCATCTTATCTCAGCATGAAGGAAATAACCTTAACTGAGTTTTTTGGAAGACTTTGTTGCATTCATGTGCTAAAGAATGCACTATTGTTTCATTAGATAATCATATCTGAATGGTGATTGGTCATAATTAAATAGTGACTTGTAAATGGATTTTTATAATCAATTATGTATATTATCTTATTTTTAGTTTTTTTTCAGCTCATCTTTGATATTGAAGTTAGTAATTGACAACACTAAGATAAGTTCGATGTTTGTCTTAAGTTGCTTTGAAGTTTGATTCCACAATTAATCTTTCTTGGAGTTCAAATATGTTCACAGCAATTTATTGGATAAGAAATAGACATTTATGATGAACATGCTTCGGTCCTTTCTACTGCTAATTATATGCCATCTTTTGACATGATTGAGATTGTTAAATCAGGTTTTTGTCTCACGTTCAAATGGTGAAAAATATTCAAGTTTATTGTATCCAGGAAAGCCAAATAATTTGAATTAAGCCTTTGCCATCTCCCTTTTGATCTTGCAATTTATATTTCTTAATAACCGTGTTGATTTAATGAGTTGGATCTTTTATGAATGTCTTGAAATGAATTTAAAAAGAGACACAACCAACGGGACAAATTGACTAAATTTTATGTGCCTAAGTAGAGAAAATCCAGTTTTAGGAATTGGATTGTGGGATTAGAATCTGAATAGACAGGATTCTATATATCATGCGTTGTATCCAAGAGCTTGGACAATATATGAGGGTAACCTAGAAAACATAGCACACTTCTAAGTCAATCATGTTATTTTCATGAAAGATAATGAGTCTGACACTAATCATTCATGCTTTCAAACATACAACAAGACCCATCACTAAAAATAGTTTGTCATCATATTTAATCTATCACGCCCCATATTTATGAGAGTAGCTATTCTTTATCAGTTTTTACTTTCATGGTTAGCTATTATCTCCTTAAAATTTTCTTTTGCATTCAGATTTAATTATAAGCAGTTGATTGTGTTCCGTTCAGCTGAATAAATTGGGCAAAACATCAGCAGATGTCACCTTACTTTTCACATGGGTTGTAAGTGATGTTTTTTGTTTGCTGTTATGGTTATTAGAATTTTTGTTAAAGGTAAACCATGTAATGATGAAAGAAAGTGAAGCAAGTAGATATTTTCAATAGCTTATAAATGCTATTAATTATTGCCACAGCAGGGATGTCTACTATCGAGACCTAAAGGTAAGACTTATTCTCCTGTCTTATCAGCAAAATTTCACTTTGATATCAAAAGAAACAAACTCTTATATGGTTTTCATTTTTTATTTAATAAAAATTTTACAGCTAGAAAAGTTGCTATTAGATGCTTCTGAAATTTCTAAAGTTTCTGATTTTAGGTTAAGTGCTCTGTCCCAACAAGTCAAGGTAGTTGTGTTTCATTGCCTTCTAAGATTTACTTTTCTTTGTTATTTATCTTTATTCAATATATTGATAATCCTATTGTCAAGTTTGCTGCTAATCATCCTTTGAGAAAAAGAAAATGAAAGAAAGCAAAACAATTGTTTTTTTAATTTATTTTAACATATCTGTAAATTGGCTAAATGCTTGCTTTTAACACACCTTACATGTGCTTATTTATATGCATGAATCTTGTATTGGCTTTTCAGGATGGGTAATATAGGATTTGAAAAAAGAGAGGGGATATACTAGCTCGCATCACAAGCCTTGTGATTGTTAAACTAGCGCCTACAGTTGAGAATAGAATAAGTAAATGGTGGTATTAAATTGATTAATATTTTTAATAGTATACTTTTAAAGGTCCCATTTTGTTGCTTTGTTCTTTGATTTTTTTTTAATTGAAAGGCATTAACTATCAATGACTCCATATGATGTTGCAATTAGTATTTTTGGAGAAGATAGCATAATCTTTTAAACCAGAGTATGACCTATATCCTTCCACTAAAATGAGTTGGAATGCTAGTATGCCTAATCTTTAAGCAAGAAATTATGGGTCTCTAGTTGTCAATTAAGTGCAAATGGTAGTACAAACTCAACTCACTTGGGATTACCCACTTAATTTAACGCAGCTGTTATGTGCTCATTATTTTTATAATCTTTCATGTTAGAAGTATAATTGCTTGATAACATTACATTATTGAGCTCTTCATTTCATGGCCTCAGTTAATGACTATGGAGTTAGAGACTCTAATATGGAAAGATTTTAGCTTTCTAAGCACTTATGCTTTTTGTGGCCTGCAGTTGATTTATTATAAGTTAATTAAAGCAAACGAAATCATTGCTTAAACTGGCCTCAATTTCTATCTTTCTATCTATGTAGAATTGACTAAACTTTTGTAGTCTTTATCCCTTTGTATTCTACAACTTATATGATAAAGAGAGGATGAAAAGAGGCATAATAGTACCATGATGTTTTGTTGGAAGCATTGCTTAACCATGGAGAGATAGCTTATTTGATTTTCACAATGCTTTGGCTTTCTTCCTTTTTCTTTACGATTTACTAAAATTGCTGGTCTCACATGTTATAGTTATCATTGCAGACAGTGGTCTCTCTGGAGTTAACGAGCAATTGAAAAGATTTGGAATCTCCTTATTGTCATTAGCATGACAGAGGTGGTGTTTTTGGTTTTTGGTAGAAATAGTGTGTCCTGAACTCTAAAGCACTGGAAAAATAAAGTTACAATGACTTGCCTCATAATTTGCATTTGCACAGAAAATTCCTCCGGTTTAAGAACAAAATAGAAGGAATAGGTTTTCACTTTTTACTACTATTGACAAGTCTCTTCTTAAGTCTTTTACTTTAGCATATTACGTAAGCTATTTATCTATTAGCTATCTATTAGATGTTTTATCTGAGTATTACATGCTTCTCACTTACATATTAGTTAGACTATCAAGTTCCTTTGCGCCTTGAACTTCATGTTATTGAGAAAATGAGAATCTCTAATTTGAGGTTTTTTCCCTTTTGTGAAAGATTAACCCCAAAATTGTGTTTGATGCCCTATATTGATCAATAAATTATTATGTCCAATAAAAAATTTAACCAAATTACAAAGATTACTTAGGGTATATTATACAAAAAAAAAATTTCAATATTCCAAAACAACTAATTAACACTGTTGATTTCAATTATGTTTATTATCCATACTATATTTATTACTATACCAAAGTTCAAAAAAAGTCAAATATTTTGTACTTTAGTGAGACTAGCTTAAGTTGTTAGGCTGTGATGATATATAATAAAGTATCAAATATGTAAACCTTTTTTATGTTAAAAAACAATAGAACAATCCCAAATGTATTGACAATTGTGATTTTTTTTATTGTTTACAAGCATCTTTCTATTGAAAGCAATTTTAATCTATTTGGATAATATGGATGAGTTAGTGAAGTTTAATAATAAAAGAAAGTCCTATAAACATTTTTTTAATCACTTGTTAGTGATAACTCATAATTGTTTTATAATAATAAACAGTTACAGTTTTATAGAACATGATTAAATATTAACTAAAAAATTATAATATGAATTATGTAATTAAGAGAAATTAATGAATGCTTTCAATTTACAAAATTTTGGTCTTGAAACTGATTTTTTTTAAAAAAAGTACAATTGTTTTTGTCTACTAAACATGATTTTTTTTTTGTATGGGTTGGGGAGGAAGTTTTTTTTTTTTTTCAGAAAAGTGAATTACAAATTAACATCAATTTTTTTATTTGTTTTATACTCTCTAATATTTCACTAAATAATAAAGTCCAAAGACATTGAATAACTCTTACTACTTTACCGGAGAATAAGACATTGACTATTATAAGTTTTTATGCACGTATAATTGATTTGGTTAGAGGCAAATATATTTGCATGCAAAAGGCTTAAAAATACTTATCTACAACAAAAATAATGAGGTGTCTTAAAAAATGACTCACGTTACATTTCAACAGATATTCAAGAACATTGAAATGAATTACCGTTTTTTTTTATGTTATACCTTACACTAATTGTTTCTATACACTTGTGCACATGGTTTGTATTTCTCCATCAAATTTAATTATGAACATGTCATTCACATTTATCATTTGTTCAATTGGTTGCAAATTAATGCAATCTAGCTAAAGACCACACTCATTAAAAAAACTAAATAAACATGTTAACATTGTTGATTTCAAATACATAGCATGCAACAACAATGATGCTCTACAGTATAATTTATCTTACAAGAAAGTAATTTTGAAGGCATACATAAATTAATATAATTAGATGATATTTTGTTGTGCATTGCACTAGGTGAAACATTAGTTATAAAGAAAGTTAGAAAGACAGCATAAGAGATTGTTTAATTTGTTGATGTGTTTATTATCTAACTTTTCTTTTCCATTGTTTCATTGTATATATTTGACTTTTTATCTAAAAAAAAAGAGAGATAAAAGCAAAAGAAAACCAAAGAGAGGGAAAAAGACATGTACTCCTTCCAATTTTATTTATAAGTTACATTCTAAAAAGTTTATTTAGTCTCATTTATAAGTTACGGTTTGACTTTTTAAGTAATATTTAAAATGTATTTTCAAAATTATTCTTTATAAAAGAGAAAAAAAATAACATGTCATCACTTTTTAAATTTGTTATATAAGAGCGTATTTGAAATTTTACATACTTTTGTTGATTATATTTTTTTTATATTGATATTGACGAGATTGGTAGAAATAACTTACAAAAAAAATTAAAGGAGGAGTATAACAGGGCTATGTGTGCCCTTAGACTATAAGGTTGCCCTTAATAAACCCATTTAACTCCAAAAAGATGGTAATTAAGGGATTAACTCTCAAAGGATTACCAAAATTGTAAGCTTATATAAAAGAGAAGAATTCTCAAATCATTTATAATGGGATCTCAAAACTTAATTTTCAATCTTTAACATACACATAAAATATTCAAATCAGAGTTTGAAAATAATGCGCAGGTTAAAAAATCACATGGAATCCAAAACATGAGTTTCAAATCTCAAAACTATAATTTGCCCATGTGCCATGGTTTATGACATATACGTTGCGGTTCACTCTCCTTTGTGCTATGCACTGTGGTGCATTGCATGAATTTAACAACAATGGGAGGAAATTTTTGATGCATCCTAAATCTCCGTCCCATGTTTGATTGAGATAGTTTCAGTGTCTACACAAAGCTTTCTTCTAACTCTATCTAATGGCATAGATTTTACGCTCAAATACATTTTTTACAAAAAGTTGGATATTGAAATCTATTTTATCACTTTTTCACCAAAATCTCAGATCAATAGTGTCCTAACTTAACCATAAGTGCCAAAAACCTGCACCAATTGTCCAACCACACTTAATAAATTTTAACGAACTCGTGCAATGCATCATACACAACCAAAAATACATATTTTTTAAAATCACTACTCAACTCTAAATTTTCACAAAACATCAAGGAGAGGAAATTCATACACAACCCCATATTTTTTATTTACATTTAAAATTTTTAAATATGTAATCGTATTTATTTAGTACTTTTTTGAAAAATTAAATGTATAAATGGGTTAAAATAATATTCAAACATACCGTTAAAAAATTAATGAAAGATACACTTAATTATTTAAATTGAGTGATAGTAAACAATTATATATCATAAGAACAGATTAATAATTTTTAAATTTTTAAATCAATTACAAATAAAAATATATTTTAAATTTTTTAATAAAATATTTCTAACAACGTTAAAATATTGAATTAAAGTTTATGTTTTAAAAAAGATTTATGTAATTTTAATAAAACAAAAGATGTATTTTCACTCAATAAGTTATACACACACTGTGCACTGTTGTTTTTAAACCAAATCAAACCGGTCCGTTGCGTTTGATCTGGCTTTGTATTTTAAGGTGGACATAACTTAGACTTAGAATTAACTCAAATCAACTTGTCTAGTCCCATGGGTTAAACAGGTTGATATTTTAAAAAATTCTAGCTGAAATAATGAAGAAGAAGAACCCAAATGAAAAGAAGAATGAAAAGATGCATGAAGAACTGGCAAGATGAAGAACTAAAATGAGAAGGAAAAAAAAAAAAAGACCAGGCTTTATTGTTGAAATTAAACTCCACACCTCTATTGTGAAGTGAAGCTTAACAATGTAATTTTGCCTTCCATAGTTAAACGCTGGAGCCAGATTCCTCGCTTGACACAGATTTTAAAAATGAAATTGTATATTTGTATATATATTCATTACTCTTTTGACCCTTTTTATTTGTTATTTTTACCGATTTCATTAATATCAATGCAAAAAAAATATAAAAAATAAAAGTGTATAAAATTTTAAATATGTCCTTATATAATAAATCCAAAAAGTAATATTATGTTACTTTTTCTCTCTTTATGATAATTTTAAAAATACTTTTTAAATATTACCTAAAAAGTTGTATTGTAACTTATAAATGAGATTAAATAGATCTTTTAAAACATGTCTTAAAATGAGATCAAATGCAGCATTATACAATACACACCAGTTATTATTTTTTTATCTGCAAATTTTTGTCACTTTAATCTTAGTATCTTATTATTAGGTAAATTTATTGTTTTAAAAATAATTTTATTTGAATTAATCTATGTATACTTTAAAATAAATTAGTTTACGTGAGCTTGATTTCACTTTCGATTCAATATTAATTGAACCCTTAATCTTGATGTTGGCCAGTTCAATGAGCAATTCAATTTCTTGGTGTGCAACTGAAATTATATGGGTTATAGGTGCAGTGCAGTAGTTGGGGATGGAACATCTCCATGAAGCAATTTTGTGTATATGAGATGTCCGTTAATTTGAGAAGGGCACGAGATCTTAATGCTTGATAGCCACACAGAATCAACTTCAGTATGAGCCATTCAGATAATTTCATTTGGACAAGAAATTATAAAAAAATTATTTATAATAAAGAGTTTGGATCTAATTTGAACTATTTAAATTTAATATTAAAATTTTTTATAATTTAATAAATTTACTATCCAGATTTACTCTGGACACTTTAAGTTTAAAATTTTAACTTATAATTTTTTTAAAATTATTTCTTTCAAAAGTACCCATTTGAGTATTATCCTTGTTTTTATTAAAAAAATTAATATTAAATATAGTTTGTTCAAAGTAAATGATTAATTTATAAAAATTATAAAAATTTTAATATCAAATCGAAACTATTTAGATTAATGATAAATTATTGGGAAGATTAATCATTGGGTACCTGTAATTCTGACTTAATTACAACTCAATTCTTGAATTGTGATTCGTTGTAACTCAGTTTATATAATTTTAGCTTGATTGAAATTCAGTCCTTGAATTTTAATTTTTTAATTGAGTCCTCATAGTTTTAATTATTTAAATATTGATTCCTATACTTAAAAAAATAAAATTATAAAGATTAAACCTATTTTAAAATTCAGGACTCCTAGAGTAAAACTATTTTAAAATTTAGGTCCTAAATTTTAAATAATTTTATTTTTTAAAATATAGAGAGCAATATTTTAATTGGTTAAAACTATTGAGATTGAGTTATAAGAGTTAAAATTTAGGGATTGAGTTATAAGTTAAAATTATAAAAACTGAATTACAATGAGTTAAAATTTAAAATTGAATTATAATTTTAAGAATTAAATAATCAGCTTTTTCTAAATTATTTATTAAATAAGTTATCGCTATTAAAAACTTTAAATTTGAATGATTTTAAATTAAAATCTGAATTGCTTAGATCGAAGGAGCATGAAGACGAACCCGTAGGCTATGTTTGGTTTGAGGGGAAGGGAGGGTTTTTAAGATACCTTATTTGGTTTGATTAGAGGGGAGAGGAGGGGAGGGGTTTTTATTGATCTTTTGTTTGGTTTAGGAGGGGAGATAATAATTAAATTATCATTATACCCTTGTACAATAATATTTTATTTTTTAACCTTTTATCACATAAATCTATTTTACATATCAACTCAAATTGTATAATTTTTTTAAATTACCCTAAGCTTATCAATTTTTTTTTACTTCTTCATCCCAAATAAGTAAATTAAAAAATACTATTAAATAATCTTATTAGTAAATTAATCTAGATATTAAACAATACTTTGTGAAAAAATTAATGAAACTAATGATTTTATACCCTCAATAATTGCACAAGACAATGCTCGTTCTTAATAACAATGGAGCAATAATTATAATCATTAATAACAAAATATATTGGGCAAGAGCATCTAACATATTAATCATGCTTAAGAACCACATTTTGAGCATCTAGCTAACAAAATATACAAAAATTACTAATAAAAGTCATCATCTAATTAGAACTATAAAACATCCTCATCATCACTTCCTTTCGTATTGGTGCTGGACATTGAGTTGCTGCTTTAAGCCTATCACTATTAGCCATAAGAAACCAATATATGTCAGGTAATTTTGCAGCATCAATCCCACACTTTTCAAGCATTTTCCAAATTTTTTCACCTGATAATTATGGCACCTTCTTGAAACTTTGTCATATCATCACATTTCCTTGTTGAATTGCCTCAGCCACAGCTAACACTGCTCCCGTCAACTCATTTAGACTAGCCTCATTCTCCTTAGACACCCTCTCTGTCTTCTTGCTACATGCACTAGTAATAGTGGGTGAGTGCTCTTGGTCAGGTGAGTTTTCTTGTCCTGGTAAGTTTTTTTGTCCATCAAGCTCAACATTAATTGTGGCTCTATTTTGTGAGACAATATTGTTAATGTCATTAATAATTTCAATGACTTCTTCCTGAGAACGACGTCTTTTTTTCACTCACGTGCTGTCTCACCCTCATCTCCATTAGCTCTATCTACTTTATATAATATCATCATTTTTTCATAGTTTAGAAAAGGAGTAGTTCTCTATAATGCTGCTTTAGGTTTAACCTGAAACAAGTGAAATTACAAAAGCAATTCAATTGCAAATGCATACTTTTCCATTTTCAAAGACCATTAAACAAGTATAGCTATGAATATGTAGGAAATTACAAAAGAATAATATAATCAATGCATATATAAAAAATTTACCTCAATTAATGCATCCTAAACTTCAGGCTCAACATCCCTATATTTGAGTTATTGGATTCCAAGCGAACCCACTCAAACTTTTGAAAATGTCATAAACATCTGAAAAGTTTCTCTTTAAAGTTTTCCATCAATTTTTCACCTTTTTCTTGTCAATTTGTTTACCGAATAAAGCACTCAAATATTTATATATGTTATCATAAGTTGTAGTGGTAAAAGTACCATTAACTTTGTGACCCTCATTATATTCATTCATGAAAGCATCAACGAGAGTATCATCCATGAATCTTGTCTAGTTTACAATCTCCTTATTATTGTTTGGTGCCATCCTATTACATAACAACATAATCACATAATACTAATCCCAATATGAAAAGCTAATCAAATTTCAATGTCAAACTAAACAAATAATATAAAGCAAATAAAAGTCAATAAAATAACAAATTTCAATATCTGATCAAACCTTAATTAAACTCAATATAAGTCAATGTAATAATACAACATATTTAAATGTCTATAATAATACAATAGTTTCTAACTTATTAAGAAAATAAAAATTCAATCATCAAATTCATCCTCAAGAGCAGCCAAATGTTCTTGATAATCTGCCTACATCTGATTGGTTATATTTTTTCTAATAAGTTCACCTCGAGCAGCCTCATTATTGTCCCCTATTTGAGCACGGTTATTATTATTTGAATGGTTTTCTCTTACAAGAACAGCATCAACTTCCTCTAAAAGATCTTCAATAGGTCTATACTCACAAGGAAGTTATGAAGAATGCAACATACATATATTATCATTTTTTGTGCTTTGATCCCATATGTAGGTTCAGTTGTATTGGATAAAATAAAAAATCTTTTTTTCAAAATACTAAAAGCACGTTCAATGGCATTGCATAACTTTGCATGTCAAAGGTTAACTAACTCTCTATAATTTAGGGAGAGATTCTGTTTTGAATATTCTTTCAAATGATAATGGACTCCTCAATAAGGTGTTATAAGTCCTCTTGTTAACATGAATCCAGCATCAACAAGGTAATATTTACCTATCATAAAGAAAAATAATTACTATAATAATTTTACAATTACAAATATAAACTTTATCAAAATTGGTAAAATATTTACCTTTAGGAATTATAAGCCTATCTTCTCGTGTTAATGCATTTTTAATAATTTTTGAGTCAGATGCAATACCTTCCCATCCAGGGAGCACATAAATAAACTTTAGATCAAATGTACATGTTGTTAACATGTTCTGTGTCGGAAATTCCTTCCTACCACGATATCTAGGAGCATCTAAAGAAGGCACCTTGACTCGTATATGTGTTTCACCAATAGCACCAACACAATCCTTAAAATATGAGAAGAATTTCTTATCTTTTTTAATTTCAGGACGGATGGTTGAGCCATTAGGTTGAACAAGAAATTTTTCTTCTAAGTCAATGATAGTTGTCAAAACTGGATGAAAATGGCGACTAATTGTCTCACCAAAACACCTAAACCAAAAATTCACTTCACGATTTTTTGCATTGTGTGTCAATATATATAGAGTTTTTGCAACTATTTCTTCCACATTTGACCATTGCGTGGGTTGTAGGCCAGCCTCTCTTTTTAACATACCACATAATTCTAAAAAAGTTCTAGGAGTCATTCTAATGATATTTCAACTAGAGGGACTATCACTTATTCTGGCTCATTATTTCATCACGTACCATTTCTTTCTTGCCACTCAAACTATAACTTTTTTTTTTTGAATACATCTTACTTGCACATACTTTTATAAGGACACAAGGAAGAAGAGCTAGTGCTCTTCGACGCAATTCAAACCAATGTTGTACCAGTAAAAGATATTTAGATTCCTTGCTCATCTAACAAAGCAACCAAGAAGAATAATAAAAATCAATAAACAAGCCACAATTATCATAAATGAGAGCAAAAGATTTAGTTTCATCAGTAGAAAACAATGATCATATATAGTACGAGTGGAAAACAAGATTTCTGTGACTCTACAAAGCACCACAAATTGAAGAAAATGGTGGGCCTTTCTAACTAGTCCAATTAATCTCATTCACAGACCATGAAAGAGTCTTAGGAACGATGGCAACGTGCAGCATGACGGCAACTCTTTTTCTATATAAAATCAAAACCTAAAACTGATTGCTTTCTTGCATCCAAATAACAATTTTAGAACAAACAAACAGGGAATGAATAACTATATAAACGATACCGAATTATGAGGTAAATGAATAGAGAACATAGATTTTAGAGGTTATCTTATATTATAGATTGAAAGGCGTGTCTTATATGCGCAAATTGCATATTAGTTATTCAAAATGAACCAAAAGCAAGCATTACAATTATCACCATTATGATCTTCCATGAACCAAAAGCAGCTCATTTAATCCAGTGAAGTTTATATCACCATTAAAATTGAAAGTAGAATATCCCATCAATACAATTTTCTTCTTTACCCTACCCTAGAGGGTTTTGGTTTGTGAGACCACATTACTATAAAGAAATTAGTTCAATAATTTCCATGCAAGAGAATCAATTGAATGAGAGGCTTTGTACTATAAACAGAGAACAAAAGTATTTAATCACAAAAACCTATATTTGCAAATCAGCAGCAATATAAAATTGAACATTTTTTATGTAGAACAGAAAATTACATTTCCCATGAATCTCTGGATGTTCTTCAAATTGTTGGCAAAGTCATACACAAGAACAATGGGAACAGTCACATAGATCCCAAACTTAGCAATCTCAAGGATTCCTTTCGATGTGTCAAGAGAAGACATCTCAGTGGATGTTTTAATTTTGCAGGACATATAGAAACACCAGCATTTTAGCGCATAATATTAAATATGATATGTTTATCGATGATAGTTAAGTCAAGTGAAATGGATCAAAATGAAGAAAATGGTGGGCCTTTCTACAGAGCACCGTTCTTATAGCAATTGTCATAAGCTTCTAATTGTTTATTCATTAACTTAAATGCTTCATCCGTATAGAAAGAATGAAGAAGAAAACCAGAACAGGGTCTGAACAACCTAAATCTCAGAACAAGGTCCGAACAAAAAGAAAAGAACGAAGAACGAAGAAGAAAACCAGGACAAAGCTCAAATCAAACACAAATCAAGCGAATTGATTCAAAGAAAAGATAGACAGAGCATTTGTGAGGAAGAATCTGACCTAACAATGCACAGTGAGAGCTTTGAAGAGGAGGACTTGATGAGATGATGCACGTCGGGAGCTTCGACCACTCCAGACAAGACGCATGGCGGGGCTTCGAACACGCCAGATTAGACGCACAATAAGAGCTCTGACAAACCGAGAGCTCTGAGAAAGCTAAAAGAAGACCCACAACGAGATAGACCGAGCTTCTGCAAGAAAAGAAAGCCAGATTGTGTTTATTGTGTTTCAAGGGCAATATCATAATTTCATAAAAATAATGAGGATAAATTAGTCAACAAATTTAACTCTTCTTCAAAAAAATCCCAACTTAAAGGGAGCCAAAAATAAGAGGCCTCTCCCCTCTAAAAATTTTGAACCAAATGAGAGAAATGAAATCCTTTCCTTCCCCTCCATTTACCTCCAACCAAACAGAGCCATGAACACACACTCGGGCGCGGTTATCGGATTGTTGTGTGCACCGGAAGGCGCGAGAACCTTTTTGTGGCCCCGCCACCGTGGGGTTGGGGGAAGAAATTTCTGGAGACATCGAAGCTTTTATCTGGCAATTCGAGTCGGGGGAACCAAGCCCTAGCGATCAAAACGATCTCACTCCTGATCTGCTCCTATCTTGAAGAGCTGAATTATAGGCAAATTACTCCTTTTCATCTGCGGTTCATGGCGACTTCATCAACCTCTGTCGCTACATCTGTGTCTTCGCAATTCACCAACTTCAACGGTTCCTATTTCCCCGTGCCTTTTCACCTACAGCAATCCCTAGCAATGCAGTATGCGACACCATATGCGGCGGTTTCTGCGGCATCGCCAGCCGTGCAAATTTCTCCTGCTTCCCTTTATCCCTCTCCGGCACCGGTCGCTGGTTTGTATTCTCTGCCACAGTATCAGCAGGTCGGTGGATGCTCTTGCGCGCAATACATGCGTGCGCGATGATTTCTCTGCTAAGTTTTTATTTATTAATTTATTTTGCGTAAAATGAGATAATTGCCTTTGATTCCTTTTCATTTTCTGACGCAAGAATAGTAGGAGGCCATCGTTTTTAACTGCTGTTTAACTTTTAATATTCCTCCCGTAGCGGTTTCGTTACAGAGCTCTTAGAGAATAGCAATATAAGAACCAAAAGACTCGATTGAACGTTCAACTGTGTATTTTTTTCTAAAATCATTATTATTATTATTATCGTTTTTTTTCTTTTTAAATAATAGGCGCAACAACTATTTCAAAGGGATGCACAGGCAATTACACCTGAAGCTCTTGAGAGTGTCAAGGCGGCCATTGCAAATAGTGAGATTGAGCATAAAGCGGAGCCCAAAAAGAAAGCAGTTCCTCGCAAAGCTGCTGGCCAAACATGGGAGGATCCCACTCTTGCAGACTGGCCAGAAAGTATGCTGTTTGTTTTATATAATTACTATTTTTTAATTCGTCACGGTAGTGCAAGGATAATCAACTTGCTTCGGCACGACTGTCCTCATAGTCCGTAATTCAACTCTGTCAGAGTCTTTCAGGATTTTGAACTGTGATCATGTGTTCTCTGTCTTCCTCTTTTCTTCTTTCTTTTTAAAAAAGGAAAAATCGAGACTCCATGTGGGGGTTGCATCTTCATGAAAATGGTTTAAGGTAGTGTGATACGCGCACACGGACCCTTGGGCTTTGGTGGAATACGGCTCAAGCATGGATAACCCCATGGAAAGGGAAATATATCAAGCAAGTTTGAATGAAAGACTAGATTCCCCATCTCATTGAGATAACTAGGTTCTTCTCCCTTTTTTGGATGATTAATTTGAATAATTTAGCCATTTAGGTGGACAACTTTTGACCCAGTAGTTTTTTTAATAAAAAAATGTAACTTCTGAATAGTTGCGTCAGATATGTAGAATGTGGAACGGTGACAGTTGTATTTTCATGTAGTAGTTAAAAAGAAAACATGTTGTTATCAACGTGCAATTCATGTGGATTTTGAAAGAAATACCTTGGTAATCGAAGTCACTGCTGTAATGCAGAAAGTCAGCATCAAAATTGACAATAGTAGTAAGTCATTTGGAGCGTAATTTATTTCCTTTGAAGTTACGACTATTATATGGAAATAAAGTTGTTCTGGGCATTCTGGGGCTTCAAGGATTGTTTATTGGTCTTGCATGTGGTGTATAAGCAGTATGTATTTTGGTTGACATCCCCCCTCTTTAAGGCCCAGATGCTATTTTTCCTGTATTACCTATACCTACATTTAAAATGGGCCCAGGCTACTCAATTAGTGGTTTGAGAATGTAACACATGCCTTCATCCTGCCAAATTCTGTCATATAATATCACGCTCTCTTTTTCACAGCTGGTGCAAATTAATTTGTCATTTTGATATCAAATACTGCCCTCTCTCAAAAGCTAAAATCATAAATTAGTCTCTTATCAAATTGGATGTGGCAGATGATTATCGGCTCTTTTGCGGTGATCTTGGTAATGAGGTGAATGATGATGTTCTTTCAAAAACATTTTCTCGATTTCCTTCCTTTAACATGGCACGGGTAAGTGGATCTTTCATCTAACTACGTCTTTCACTTTTGGTGACAATCATGTCAGTGTGAACAATTTTTATTTCCTCTTCAGATTTTTATTTGAAGGAACAGAGCGTGAATCTTAAGGTAGGCCCCGTATCATAACTTATATTTAGATAGACATGTTGTTATGATTAGAATTGATGCATTATTTTGGGAAAAATGTAACTTTAAATTCCTGCATTTTGTTTGAGTTTTGCTATAAGTGCCTGCATTTTTTTTTCTTTTGGTGTTATAGGTTTTTACACTTTTATTTTTTGGTGTTCTAGTAAGTGTATGGATTTAAAATTATATTTTCCTATTATTTTGTCATCGGAGGTGTTCCCTAGCTGCTGCCCATTAACAAGCTAAAAGAAAATTGAGATGGTGTCATTGAGATGCTGTTTAGGATGCTTGGATTTTCAGAATCTTATAATTTGAAATTAATCCATTCTTAGGAGGTTTATTTTGGTGTCTTATTTATGACTGGAGATCCGAAAAGTTAGTTGCAGTTCATTCCAGTCAGGTTGACTTTTGAATTTTGGTTGTGGACATTTAGAGTCAACATATGGTCATTAAGTCTGTTAGATTCCAAATGACTCTTGGTCTGTGCTTTTTTAGCAGGCCTGTTGAATCTTTCAGTAGGTCTATCTGTTTCCCCCAGTCTGTCTTGATTTATTTCCTTGTTTGAGGTGGCTTTCCAACTATCTTGAACCCCCATGGAAAGATACTTTGGTTGACTGGATTTAATTTCTTATGCCCGTAGTCTCCCACTTTGGCTCCAGCAAACTAAGCCTCGTCTGGCAAACTTAGCAAACTAAGTCCACACACACACACACATTTTTTTTTCAAAAGAGTAAAGAATAGATATGTTTGGTGGCTATTGTGACCTTCTGTGAACTTAGTTTTTTGGGTTCTAAACTGACACAGTAAAAGAGGGGGTAGTGGAGGAAGAAGTGAACAGTTATTCACAATTGGAAAGAATAATTGGTGCATAGTTGTGAGTATAGTCAAACTAGACGCATTAGACTCGAAGGCTATGGTGAAGCTGGAAATCAAAAACTCTATGGTAGCTTCATGGCCAATCAATGCTGTGACACCACAAATTCGGCATTCCTTCATGTTTCTTCCGATAGCTCAAGATATATGGGAAGTAGTCAAGGAGTCATATTCAGATGGTGAAGATGGTGCCCGGCTCTATGATCTTAAGACACAAATTTGGCAGGTTAAACAAGGAGACCGGTAGTTAATTGAATTTTCGTTGGACTGGGTTGCCATTTGGCAGGAAATTGACCTCAACACAGGAGAGGAGTGGTCATGTGCCATTGATGCAGTAAGGTATGAGCGATGAATTGAAGATGAGCAGGTCTTTCAGTTTTTGGCCTGTATTTATCAATCTTTGGATGATGTTCGTAGCCGCATATAGGCTCGCTCCCCCTTACCTTCTCCTTGTGATACGCTTGCTGAAGTTCGTCAAGAGGCCTCTCGTCGCAAGGTGATGTTATGTGCCCCTATTCCTACTCTTCCTCAATCTGAATCTTTTGCTTTAGTGAGTAGGCATTTTGACCAGGTCCACAAAGATGCAAAGGGGAAGAGTGTGTGACCATTGTAAAAAGACGGGCCACTTGAAAGACAAGTGTTGGGATCTTCATGGGTCCAACACATCCTAATTGGAAACCTCGTAAGGGTAAATCCCATGGCTATCAAGTTATCTTTGATCCTCCTAACAAAGTGGGTTCACTACCTTCTATTGATAAGGACCAATTGAATAAACTTATGGACATGATTAAGTCCTTACAATCTAGGCAGCCACCTTCCCTGTCATAATGCTTCAGTAGTTAAACAAGGTAATTCTCATTATGCTTTCAAATACTTGTTCCATTAAGTCTAAATGGATTGTTGATTTTGGAGCCTTGGATCATATAACTGTGGATTCTACATTATTTATATCATATTTCCCATGTAGTGGGCATGAGAAAATTGATACAGCCAATGGTACCTCTTCCTCTATTGCTGGAAAGGGCAATATTACTATTTCTGAAGTTATGCATTTGGATTCTGTTCTTTATGTTCCTTATTTGGCTTGTAACTTGTGCATAAGCTAGTTTACTAAAGTTCATTGTAGTGCTCACTTCTTTTTCACCTATTACATTTTTTAGGATCTCTCATTGGCGAAGATGATTGGTAGTGCTGAGGAGTGTGGTGGGCTCTATTACGGGAATCAATCGTGAATAATCTCTGGTCTTGTTTCTGCTGCAACCTTGCATCTACTTCCAAAATGTTGATCTTTTGTTACGATATAAAAGAATGGGTCATCCCAATGTTTAGTATTTGAGTCATTTGTTTCTCAAATTATCATTTAATAAAACTTCTAGTTATTTTTTGTTGTGATATTTGCGAATTGGCCAAACACCATCGTTTTTCTTTTCCACGCTCTGAGTACAAGCCCTCTCAACCTTTTTCTATTGTTCATGGTGATGTGTGGGGTCCTTTACTTGTTCCTAATTGTACTCCTGCTAAGTGGTTTGTTACTTTCATTGATGACTATACTCATGTGTGCTGGTTCTGTTTAATAAAAGACAAGTTTGATGTGACATCTATTTTTATCGAATTCTGCACCATGATATTAAATCAATTTCACAAGTCTATCAAAATCCTTCAAACTGATAAGGGCATTGAATATGTTAACAAATCTTTGGGTGAGTTTCTTAAGTCCAAGGGAATTGTTCATAAAACTTCTATACTGACAGTCCTCAACAAAATAGGGTGGTTGAACGAAAGAATCGACCCTTACTTGAAGTTGTTCGTGCTCTTCTCTTCACCACAAATGTCCCCCTAAATACTTCTAGGGGGATGCCATTCTCATTGCTACTTACCTCATTAATCGCATGCCCAGTAAAATATCATCCTACTCTATTCTACTTGTGTGCCTTCGTCAAACACACTCTCATCCATCTTGAGACAACTCTTCCTTTAAAAAATCTTTGGGTGTTCTGCCTTTGTTCACCTTTCCTCATCCTCCAAACTTGAGCCTTAAGCTATCAAATGTGTGTTTCTTGGTTATTCTTCTTCCCAAAAGGGCTATAAGTGCTTTGATCCTTCTTCTAAGCGCTTATTTGTTAGTCATGATGTTACCTTCTCTGAACATGAATCCTTTTATCCTTCTCCTTCAATTCAGAGGGAGAATTGGAGTGAATTTCAATCAATCCATCATCGTGACTGTGAGTATTCTCCTATTTATTCTCTTGACCAAGAACACCCTAATACTACTTCTCTTGAACTCATGTCTCTTTTATGCCAGAAGCAATAGAAAATGCAAGTTTAGGGGGAGACAAGAACAAGGTGCTAAAGGTAAAGAGATTAAAGTTTACACACGAAAGATGAAGCATGGTAAAAAAGCCCACAAACCTGAGGTAGTACTAGAATTTGAACCGGTGGAAGATGTTAGGGAAGAAAGTCTTGGAGAGGAAGGTGAAATTATTAATGAAAATTCAGAAATAGGGACGAGTTTAGAAGATGACTTGGGACTGCCAATTCCCCTTAGAGAGAAACCTCGGTGATGTGCACAACATCCTATTCAGAAATACCTATCGTATGAAGCTTTGTCTCCTAGTTATCGAGCCTTTATCGCTAATGTTGATGATGTTAGTATTCCTAAAAACATCTATGAGGCTCTTAAAACACCAGGATGGAAAGAGGCTGTGCTAGAGGAAATGAAAGCATTAGAAGAAAATGGGATGTGGGAGATTGTGTAGAAGCCAAGGAGCAAGAAATTAGTAAGCTGGAGATGGGTATTTACCACTAAAGCTGTATTGTGATAATAAGGCTGCCATAAACATGGCTTTGAATCCCATCCATCTAAGCATGTGGAAATAGATAGGCACTTTATAAGAGAAAAAGTGGAAGATGGACTCATATGCTTAACCTCTCTACCAACAAATTTTCAAGCAGCAGATGTGTTGATTAAAGGGTTACATAAACCTGCCTTTGAAAGTTGTTTGAGCAAGTTGAACATGATTAGTATCTATGATTCAACTCAAAGAGGATTGTGAGAATAGTCAAACTAATATTAAATGTATTTGTCTTAAAGAGATTTACTCCCTAGATATTGGGATATGATTAGATGAGATTATGGGAGTTAATATTTTTATTTTATTTGATTCTATTTACTTTATAGGAATCTCTGTAAGTTGTATATATATTTACAGTCTGCTGTGAACAAAATTATTGAGGAATTCTTGATCCAGAATGTCACAATAATTAATTCAACAGGTGAAATATATCAGATGTAGAAGATATATAGTAAATGAGGATACAATTGTCTTTATTTGAGGCGTTGTAGTTTTTTTATTGATTTTTTTAATCTTAAATTACTATTCTGAGAACTTCAGGCTCTTGATAGGCTGTAGTTTCTAATTTTCTGCTTGTCATTCTTCCAAATCAACTCAACTTGTGTTTGCGGTGCTTGCAAATTTACTTAGAAATTTGTTTCTATGACTATAATTCATTTGATTATTTTGTAGGTTGTCAGAGACAAGCGGACTGGAAAAACGAAGGGTTATGGATTTGTAAGCTTTGCCAATCCTGCTGACCTTGCTGCTGCTCTCAAAGAAATGAATGGTCAGTTACTTGCAAACTAGTGCTTCTCTCTTCTTCTTCCTGTCTTTTATTATGCTTCTATCTCTGTTTTTTTTTTTTTTTTGCTTTCCAATGGAAAATCTGCAAAGCCACATCTATTTTAAGTCTGAGGGGTTTAGGCTTATTGAAATTTGAAGTCAGTAAACGGGTTTTTAATGCGAACCTTGTGACATTTTCTACAATGCGTGCACAGATGCCTACAGGAGTACAAGCAAATGCTGTTTAGCCCTGACTTTGTTATTGATATGATGCATGAATTGATTTAAGCAACACTAAAAAAGAATAACGGGGGGAAATTACATATCCTAAGTGATGAAGTAATTGCAATTTTATATCCAAAGTTAAAACATGACACTATCCATCGAAATATCCCAGAAAGTGATATGTCCATGGACATTCAAATTACACTTAAAAACCACATGATTTGTTATGTGAACCTTACATCTCCATCGTATTCCCAGGTGTTTTGTGTTTTCAGTCTCTGATACGTTTCTACTGAAATCTTTTATGTTCTAATTTTAACTAGAATCTGTAATTTTCATTTTTAATTTTCTTTTTAAAGTTTAGGGTAATGTTTTGAAATTTCATATTGAGATCATAATTAGACTATAGGTCAAACATGTACCTTGAGCATGTTTTGAAACTGATAAACATGTTGCTCATCCAATGAATTGTTGCTGTGCTGAGAGAGTCGCGTTGTTTTTTCTTTTTGGTTGACGTTGCTTTCTCTCTCCTGTTTTTGGTGGTCCTTAAGATGTTAGCTGAGAATGACGTTTAAAATTTATTGCTAAAAATCTATGCCATCTTTCATGTCTTGATTTTAGGTAAATATGTTGGAAATCGGCCAATTAAGCTTCGCAAGAGTAGTTGGCAGGAGAGGACAGCTACGAGGCCCTGGAAAAAACAGAAGGTAGCTTTATGTTTTGGATTTAGAATAGCATGTTCTTTGCTTGCACTTAAACAACTGTGCTTAGTATTCTTTTATATTGTTTGGCAGAACCAAACTCAGAAGAAATCGAAATTGCCCAGGAAGAGTATCCTGCACAAATAAGTTGGCCGGATTATGTAATTCAGGCTTCCGAAAGAATAAAAAAAGCACGGTTCACAAAGTACTGTTTTGTCTTTTCATATTTGCTAAATATTTTTATCTACCTTCTGTCCATGTTTATATCCCTGGAATTTGTGCTGGTCATGTTCAAACACTGAAAAACGAGGGGATAGAAATCGTCAGTAATAATTTACCGCACGTATCGTTTTAAATGTCTGACCTCTTGAAGTGGAATGGACCTGAAGCGTACTGTTGGATTGCATGTGGCTGTTAGGCAGATATGCTAAGAGTTGATATTGTTATTGCAAAGCGAATGCTAAGTACTATTCATAGGTATCGTAGGTTATAAGTTAGAATCCCCCCCCCTTCTTTTAGTTATCAAAAAAAAAAAAACAAAGAAATTCCCCTTTTTGTGCTGAACAACATTAACAAGATACCATCAAAGTGTTTTGCAGCGTCGATATCTGGTAAATCATGTTGG